GAGAAGGGAGGGGAATGGGGGATTGCAAATAGGGGGGAGGAGGGGTCTGGGTGTTCATAGTGACTACGGGCTGCAGAAACTGACACTGGCTTCCCCGGCAGGCCCCACGCATGGGCACCTTCATGGGTGTGTACCTACCATGCCTGCAGAACATCTTTGGTGTCATCCTCTTCCTGAGGCTCACTTGGGTGGTGGGCATCGCAGGCATCATGGAGGCCTTCTGCATGGTCTTCATCTGCTGCTCCTGTGTGAGTGACACCTCCCCCTCTCCTGACCGTTGTGGCAGACCAGGGACCTGGGGTGGGGGAGGGGAAGGGGCAGCACGAGACCTGAGTGTTTTGTAGGAATCACTGCATATGATCTTTGAGAGTAAATCAGGTCTGATTGGTCCTTCCTGCATCTCACAAGCTGGTCCCTGATAGCCACTAACCAGGTTTCGCCTGGATCGTGTGTGTGTGTGTATGTGTGTGTGTGTGTGTGAATGAGTGCATGTATAATTACACAAGTAATGCAGATTCATTGATGAAAAAGATAGGTGTACAGAAGGAAATAAAATTCACCTAGAAAACCCCAGTGGTTAACATTTTTGTAGGCCCAGACTCACAAAAAATGGGATTATGTGTCACAAACAGCTTTGTAATAGAATCCTTTCCATCCTCCCTAGAAAATCAAATATTCACGGAACACCTACTTCTCATCATGTTTACATTTCTTCACACATGACCCTTGAGCCACCTCTGCATGTGAGGTGGCCGCTACTGATGGTAGAACGCCTATTTTATTTCTTTTTAAGTTTTTGTTTTCACAAAATTTCAGACATACAGAAAATTTGCAGGAATAGAACAAATATCCCTTCCACCAGACTCCCAAATGTTAACGTTATTGTATTTATTCCATCCTCTCTGTAAGTACTTTTTTTCCCCTGAATTTGAGAGCAAGTTGCAGACATGATGCCTCTTTATCCTAAATCCTTCAGTGTGTGTTTACTAAAAATGAGGACATTCCCTTATGTAACCACAGTACAATGATCAGAGGCAGGAAACTAACACTGATACGTTAATAATGTCTTAATAGTAACACATTAATAATGTTTTATCTGCAGGCCTTATTCAGATTTTGCCAATCATGTCCTCACTAACTGAAGAAAATTCAAGATCACGTTTATACTCATTTATGATATCATGATTTTAGCCTCCATTAATCTGTAACAGCTGCTCTTTCTTTGTCTTGCATGACATTGACACTTTTGAAGAGTATGGAGCAGTTAGTTTGTATGATGTCCCTTGATCTGGGTTGGTCAGATATCTCCTCATGACCAGATTCAGCTTAAGCATTGAGGCAGGAATACAGTACACCTATTTCATAGATGAAGAAACTGAGGCTTAGACAAGTGAAGTGACTTGTCCCAGATCAGACAGCTGGTCAGAGGCCAAGCTGGGATTTCCAGAGCTCTCTGATGCTATAGCTTGTGCTTCCTCCATGTGCATGGTGAATAAGAGATTTTCTTGACCAGAAGGACTTGGCAGGGGTAGAAGTTGGAACAGGACCAGAGAGAAGCTCAGCAAGGACTTGTGGGTTTGGCAGGTGTTTATGGGGTATAAGGTTTGGCACTGACCCAGGGCACTGCGGCCCCTGCCCTAGCTGCCACTCTGATGATCCCTCTCCTTGCAGACAATGCTCACGGCCATCTCCATGAGTGCAATCGCAACCAATGGTGTTGTACCTGGTATGTGATGGGGCTTCTTGGAGGGGAAAGGGGTCTGGTTGGTCAGGAGGGGGCCCAGATAGTTGGAAGGAAGGACAGGGCCATAGGCTTTGGGGTCATCAGGACCAAGAGAGGCAATATTGAAGACCTGGGGGCTGGGCTATGATGTTTGTGGGGTAGGTGGGGACAGTGGTATTAAGGGGGAGGGAGGGAGGGAGGCAGTTGATGGAGTTGAACAGGGCAATGCAAGATCTCCCTTTGCCTGAGACCCTCCTCTCCGTCATCCTATTTTTCTGAGCCATGACCTCCTTAGAGGGGTAATTAGCAACATGGTAATTAGTGCTGCAAAATCCACTCAGAGTGGCTGGCTGAGTCTCCCACCAGTCGTAGGGCTGTAGCCTGTAAGACGTGAGGCACAGAACAACCCCTTTCCCACCTCTGTCCTGGAGCTCCCTCACCCCCAGTGGCAGCCCAGTGCCCCTTGAACTTCTCACTGACACTAGGTTCTTTCTGCAGCTGGCGGCTCCTACTACATGATTTCCAGGTCTCTGGGCCCAGAGTTTGGGGGCGCCGTTGGCCTCTGCTTCTACCTGGGCACTACATTTGCTGGGGCCATGTACATCCTGGGCACCATCGAAATCCTGCTGGTGAGAGGGGCTGAGGAGGAGGTGTGGGGCCCTAGGCTGTCAATCAGTTAACCAATGCTCCCTGGACACCTCCTAGGGAGAGGTCCAAGCCACTCAGTGAGGCCAAAAGGAAATTAGATGTGGTTCTGTCTTTAAAAAATTCACAGTCTAGTTGGGGAGACAAGATACAGTAATTACGTAACGTGAACAGCTGTCGTTCATCAGGCACCCACTGTGCTCTCAGCAGAGTTCCAATTGCTTTACAGTCATTATCTTGAATCCTCACAAGGATTAAGTATTATTATGCCCATTTTACAAATGAGAAGCTCAGAGAGGTGACATGACTTGCTCAAGGTCACTCAGCTACCAAGTGGCAGATGTGGGTCGATAAGAGTTAATAGTGGTAGAAATAATTAAAGTAATGTCACACAATAGCTATAGCTGGTGATTGCCTACCATGTGCCTGGGACTGTGCTGATTTCTCTGTGAATGTTAATTGTGCAGGACTGATGACCAATGGGTTGCAAAAGAGAAGAAGGATGTGAGAGAGCCGAGTAAGAGACATGTTAGGAGTAGTGACTGATGAGAAGAAATCAGGGTGCTGGGCAGTGTTTGAAGGAGAGGCTAGTGATGTGGGTCTCGGCTCAAAGCAATTCTGCTCAATGCACAAAATTGGAAAAATATCAAAGAATATAAAAAAGGAAATAACAACTGCCTGAAGAAAATCACCATTAACATTTTGGTGTATTTCCTTCTTTTTTTTTTTTTACCATGTGAAACTGTATTCTGTCCTTGTAAAATAGACTCCATAGATTTCCCTAAGTAACTAGAAACTCCCTTTGTAATATCATTTATAACCGAAAATAACTTTTTTTTTTAATTAAAAAAAATTTTTTTTTCAACGTTTTTATTTATTTTTGGGACAGAGAGAGACAGAGCATGAACGGGGGAGGGGCAGAGAGAGAGGGAGACACAGAATCGGAAACAGGCTCCAGGCTCCGAGCCATCAGCCCAGAGCCTGACGCGGGGCTCGAACTCACGGACCGCGAGATCGTGACCTGGCTGAAGTCGGACGCTTAACCGACTGCGCCACCCAGGCGCCCCGAAAATAACTTTTTTAAGAATATAAACATATTAACATTCAGTCTAAAAATTTTAGAAAATACAAATATGCCGTAGGAATAAAAATGATCACATTTACTCCTATCATTGGATGTCATTTCCAGTCTCATACTACTGTAAATACACCGTGATGAGCAAGTATTTTCCAAAGCTCTTCCTGCACGTCAGGTTATATCCTTGGGGGTGATTCTTAGTTGGTTCTTGCTGTGTCACTCACCTGACCTCCTTGCCCCCTTTCCACAGGCTTACCTCTTCCCAGCTATGGCCATTTTTAAGGCAGAAGATGCCAGTGGGGAGGCAGCAGCCATGTTGAACAATATGCGTGTGTATGGCACCTGTGTGCTCACTTGCATGGCCACTGTGGTATTTGTGGGCGTCAAGTATGTCAACAAGTTTGCCCTTGTCTTCCTGGGTTGTGTCATCCTCTCCATCCTGGCCATCTATGCTGGGGTCATCAAATCTGCCTTCGACCCACCCAACTTCCCGTAAGTGCTGTTGCTCTGAGTCTAAGGCATCGTCCTCCTCCTCCCTGGTTAGGTTTCAGGGTCTGCGACGCCAGTCTCTGCCAGCCTCCCTCTCCTCATCTCTCAGAATCTGAGTCCTTGTGGATTTAGAGCAACCTCCCTTGGGAAGTAAAATCTCTCCTTGTTTGGGGGAAATCTCTACAGGGTGGGATAATGTTTCTGGAGGTGGGCAGAGTTTCCCTTGTGAGGGTCAATTGCTTGCTGGTGGAGCAGAATTGGGAAGAACCAAGTGGGATTATTTCTGAAGGGATGATTCTGTATTAGAGAAGCATTTCCTGGCAGGAGACAACTTCCTGGAATAGGGCACCTTATTAGTGTTGGATACCTTCTCTGTTGGGGGAAAGGTCACAGAAGAGAGGGTCTAGAGTCTCAAATCTTTGTGGGTCCTGCCTCTTTCTTGAGGACAGATTCCCTTAAATCCCACCGCCCAGGACTGCACACAGAGACTGCTGTCCATGGTTCTGAAACATAGCATTGTACTAAAGTCGTGGTTCTTTGCTGTGGCTGCATATTAAAATCACTTGGGGGAGCTTTGAAAAAAAAAAAAAACACCGATTCTGGGCTCCATCCCAATTAAATCAGGATCTCTGGATATGGGGCCCTGAGATCTGTGTTTTTTAGAGCTCCCCTGGTGGTTCTATTGTGAAGCCAAGGCAAGGTTATGTCCCTCCCCCATCTTCCTCCCTTGTTGCTCTCCCTAGGATCTGCCTCCTGGGGAACCGCACACTATCTCGCCATGGCTTTGATGTCTGTGCCAAGCTGGCTTGGGAAGGAAATGAGACGGTGACCACACGGCTCTGGGGCCTTTTCTGTTCCTCCCGTTTCCTCAACGCCACCTGTGATGAGTACTTCACCCGAAACAATGTCACGGAGATCCAGGGCATCCCTGGCGCTGCCAGTGGCCTCATCAAAGGTCTGGGGGGAGGGAATAAGGCTGGTGTCCAGGGAACACTACAGGGATTGTGGGTTAAACAGTCAGGATTAAGGAACTCTACTTGGGATTCACTTAAACTCAATCAGTTTTAATTGAGCACCTACTCTGGGCCATCTTTCCTTGGCGTCTTGGAGGAATAGAGATGAAAGGGAGCCTTCAATATCTTACTACCTAGTAGGAAAGAAAGTCATCAGTTTAAACAAGTATTCACAACTAATCATCTCTGTGGTGTCTAGCACTGTGCTAAACACCAGGAACATGATATAAATGTCACAGTCCTTGACTTCAAGGAGTCCAATGGTGGACACAGATGTATAAGCAAATAAATTACAATATGAGCTGATGTGCCTTCAATGAACAGAGTCCTCTCAGGGGAGGGAGTGGTCATGTGTATAATGGGGCAAGACAAGGCTTCCTAGACTCATCTGAGGAGGGTTTTGAAGGAAAAATAAGAGATTTTGAGTTATACTAGGGGGGTAAAGGAATTAAGGCAGAAGAACAGCTTGCCTGAAAGCATGCAGACAGAGAAGAGCATATTGTGTCTTTCCAACCACAGATAATTTGGTATGACTGGGGCATAAAGTACAAAGGAAGGAGGGGCAAGAAATGATGTTGGAGAGGGTGGCATAAGCCAGATGGCGGCAGGCCTTGGAAGCCATATTGAAATGTTTGAACCATGTCCTGAGGGCAATGGGGGCCATGAAAGGGTTTCAAATAAGGGATGGACATGGTCAGTGTTATTTCTAAAGGTTCTTTTTGGGTGTTAATATGGATGAGGTAAAGGGAGAGAGAACAGGGAGTCCAGGAGGAGGCTGATGCTGAGTTCAGGTGACAGATGATAGTTTTCTGATCAAGAGTAATCGAGTGATGTCCATGGGAGTGGAGCAGTGGTTCTCCCCCAGGGCTGTTTTGCCCCCCAGGAGGCATATAGCAATGTCTGGAGACATTTTTGGCCATCGCAACTAGATGGTTGTTACTGACATCTAATGCATAGAAACCAGTATTTTGCTAAACATTCTATAGTGCTGTAGGACAGCCCTCCACAACAAAGGATTATCTGGCCCCAAATGTCAATAAGGCTGAAGTGAGGAAATCCTGAAAAGGAGAGGAGGGGCATATTTGAGAAATATTTAGAAGGGATAATAGACAGAAATTGGAGATGGTTTTGAAACAGATATGGGGAAAGGGAACAGTTGAGGGCAATGTAAAGCTGTCTGAATTAATGATGGTGCCATTTACTGAGATAAGGGATACAAAAAAGGAGCTGGTTGTGAGGTGGCTGGCCAGTGAGACCAGTTTGGGACATATTGAATCAGTCTGAGATAGGTCTTTCTGTGTCTTTTTACCCCACTAGACTGGACTATTTGAGGGCAAGGACTAGATGTGATTCATGTGCAAAGCCTCTGCACATGGCCTGGCCCAAAGCAGGAGCTTAGGGAATGTCAGTGGAAATAAAATAGAGCCAAGGCCTTGAAGGAGTGAGAAGTGGTTGACCTTGACCCTTCTTTTTCTGCCCACCCCACCTCCTGGCCCTGGAGCTCTGGTACCCTGACTTCTGGTTTTCCTCCTAAGCATCATATCTCCTCCCCACAGAGAACCTCTGGAGCTCCTACCTGACCAAGGGGGTGATTGTGGAGAGACGTGGGATGTCCTCGGTGGGCCTGGCAGATGGCACCCCTGTCGACATGGACCATCCTTATGTCTTCAGCGACATGACCTCCTACTTCACCCTGCTGGTTGGCATCTACTTCCCCTCAGTCACAGGTGAAGGGGAGCTCAGAGAGGGAGGACTCTGCCTGAGAGTGATGGGTGGAGAGAGTCAATGATGATGTGGGGAATTTCTTAGTCCAGCAATCTCATCACATAGGCAGGAGCCAAAATCCAGTTCCCATTGCACAGATGAGGGAATTAAGGCCAGGAGAAGCCATGCCCGAGTTCTCACACCAGTCAGTGTGCCAGGACTAGATCCCAGACTTCCTGGCTCCGAGGCTGGTGTCCTTTCTTCTTGTTCTGTCTTGTCTCCTGTGGCCCCTGTACTAGCTGCTCCTCTATTCGCAGGGATCATGGCTGGTTCTAACCGTTCTGGAGACCTACGGGATGCCCAGAAGTCAATTCCCACTGGCACCATCCTGGCCATTGCCACCACCTCTGCTGTCTGTATCCTGCATTGCTGGGCTGGGACCACCGTGGATAGGGAGGGCTGGGAGGAGGGCAGCTGAAGCTGCTGCCTCACCCAGCTGGCCTGGGAGCAGAAAGGGGAATGTCATCCTGGGGATTCTCCTTCATCCTCTGCTACAGACATCAGTTCTGTTGTTCTGTTTGGGGCCTGCATTGAGGGGGTCGTCCTGCGGGACAAGTAAGTAAGGGAATTGGGGCTGATCCTGTTCTGGGTAGTGGGTGCATGGGGCCAGGTTTTGGGAAACAGACCCCGCAGAGAGTGTTGAGTCTGTGCAAGGGGACTTGTGGGAGGGAGATCACAGGCGATTGCTTGCAAGCTCACCTTCTTATATTTTATCTTTCTCCTGTCACTCCAGCTCAAGAAACTTGGATGGTGTCTCGTTGTTTTTAGGATAATGCTACTTTCCTTTTTTTTTTTTTGCTTTAAAATCTATTAACCCATTTAACATTTCTTAGATATCTATATGTTGGTCGCTGTCCAGTGTTCTAGGAGAGAATAAAAATAAATAACACATGCTTTTTGTCCTGAAGGAGCTCTTTGGGGGCTGATAACCACGCTCAACAACAGACTTGAAATGTAGAGCAGTAGGAATGGGCTCTGGTAGTGCACAGGAGGCCGTAATCCAGTCTTCAGAGGGTTGGGGAAGAGGAGGTGATGCTGGAAGTGCCTTACACACATTTTCCCACTTATCTTTCTCACTTTAAATGTTGAGTAGAGATCAGTTAGGTAACTAGGAGTGGGAAGGGCATTCTAGGTGGTGGGAACAGCATGAACAAAGGTGGAGGAGAGAAACAGTAGTGTGTGTGTGTGTGTGTGTGTGTGTGTGTGT